ACAAATTAGCAACTTGACTACAATGAGTCGCATTCACTTCGTTGATGAAATCGTCACTTCCAATTGGTGGCTAATAAGGAATAGGCAAATTTCGCCAACTCATTTCCGCCTGTTCCATCAAATTTTAGAAAATGGGTTTCACAATTTATCAATGTTGGTTATTAACTAAAATAACATTTCTGAAACACTTGGTTTGTAAATTTGGGTATGTGTGAATTTAACATTACCCAAATCAGATTAAATTTACAAGCGATAGAAAATATCACACAAATAGGGTGTATTAAATTAAATTAAAGTGCAAATATGCTGAAAAGATTTAAAGAGATGGTTTAAAAGAGTTCACATCTTGGGTTTTAAAGTAATTCTTTACTTGGACTATATATACATTATTATTTGAAGAGAAATGAATTCGAATGTCTGTCACTCATACTAAAGGTCTGCAAATTTGATTACTCAGCCCACTCCAGGATTGGATGAGTGAAAGTACTGTTCTTCGCATACAGACTGTTGTCGTTTGCATATTTCTCCAGCATCCGTACTTGGGAAGCCTGAGAGGAGGCCAATGTGAACAATGCCACATAGAGGAGTGTAAGGGAGAGGATTGTGGAGGCGGTGATTGTGATGAAACCGATGGCGTGGTTAATGGGACCCGATGGATCACAAGTAATTGACATAACAGCTTTGTATGCTTCGTGGGCTTTCTTACAGGGGAAAAATTCCCTAGTCAAATTTGCAAAGCCAAATGTGTCGTTGGTCACGAAAGATGCAAGAAATTGAACTTCGGTTTCATTATACTTGGAAATGACTTCAAATTCCAGGAGGCTTACATTTGTTAAAACCTATAAGAGAACAGTAGCTTAAAGGGTAGTAATATTGACAACCTACTCTTATCAATTAAGATTGCAATTACATCTCTATGCAGCCCAAGATTGGGATTTATTCAATGAGATAACCGAGTTGCGTGAAACAATTAGATATAAACTGCCAAAATTAGTAGTAGAATCGCTCTCAACAGAGTTTTTAAATTGGCATTATTCTTACCGAAGTATTTAGTTCGACATTCTAATACAGTGCCATTTAATTTCAGACATATATGATTATTTGAATACCGTTCAATCTAGTAAATTGAGTTATCGTTCTACTTCCTTTGTTCACAATACACTCCATCTTCTCAGAGCTTGGATATGTGAAGAAATTCCGTGATTGATCATTTAATTACCCTGAGACAAGGGAAATGTAAATACATAATTGAGGCACGACCAACCATTCAAGTGAATAGATTACTTATCAAACTCTAGCTAACGCTGAAATGGAAACGCAGAGAATGTCAGAGGCCAATGTCTGAATGTTGAAGTTAGGAACATTAGCGTATTGCAAAAGGGATCAGTATGTATTGAATGACCCAGTGCTACTGAAATAGGCGAAGCATTTATATAATTATTATCTAACTAGATAAGTTGTTTCATTCCTACAGTGTTGGACACATACTGATATAGTTCAACTTTGCATGAAAAAGGCTAAAAATATATTGAATACAGTGCAAAACATGTCAGTTAATTTATAGGTGGTATAAGTACAACAGAAAATTTTCGAAATGGTGGAAACAATTGAAGAATACTGATTGGCTACATGCTGGAATGACCACAAATGCATTCAAACACACGAATTGAAAAAAAGCATATTGGCTTAAGTGCATTTGCTAACGACTCACTTGGGTTGGATACTCAAGATAGTTGGAGAGATCAGTTAGCTGGGATTTAAGTTCATTTGTGATATTTTTGATACCTTCAACCTTCGGTTTGAGCTTTGTCAAAGTTTTCGATAGTGCTAGCATCAACGAATTTAGTTCTTTCAAAATCCGAAGGCCACGTTCAAATTCAGCTCGTATAAGAGCAGGCACAGTAGCATTGAAACTCGTCAAATTTGAAATGAGAGACGTAATAACATGGTTATCTATTTTACCAGGATCAGATAAACGGAACAGTTCCTGAAATTAAATTGTACTGTTAACTGTTGTATATTTAATTAATTAAATACATGCAATTACTTACGGTTAAGTTATTATTGAGTCGATGGGAAGCATTGTTCCATTTCCCTAGTACCACTTTGATATCGCCTTTAAGGGACCTCATTACACTGAAATCAGACTTCTCTATTTTACTGATTAAAAATCTAAAAATGAAATTTGTGTTAATAATTATTTTTATTTTTAAAGAGAATTCATGGAATATCTACCACTCCCTTAAGGGCCTTTTAATATGGTATTATGAATAAATCATATATTTAATAAAATAATGACGTACATGAACAAAATATTTCTAATAAATAAGTTTGAATTTTATATTTGATTGAGGATGTGAGGTACATGAACAAAGAAATCTCATTTGTAATCGAGGAGTCTCGAAGGTGCGGCCCCATGCGCTACTAATCGGAATGGGAGCAAGTTTGGTCAAGATTTGAGCAAATTCGTGATTAAATTTCTTCCTCACAGAGTACGCAATAGACTTGCCTCCATATGGTGCATCCTGGGAAATTGTTACCCTTTCGGTAAAAAGTCTATATGCCGACAGTTGACTTCTGACTTCAAATTACTATGACACGATTGTTTGTCATATTCGACCCACTTTAATAGTACTTATCTTTCATTTTCTCTACCTTTGTGTCTGCTTGTCTGTCTATTTTACAGACCCACTCTTCTGTTCCCCCTCCCCACTCTTTCCCACTTTGATGTTTCTCCCCTCTGTGAAGCCCGATGTCATCTAATGGGCCAGTCATTTGATATAAATAAATACATGTACGAGTAACCTTGTGATAGCATATCTTTCTTACACTTTAATAGTCCAGATGCAAATGATTTAGAACTGGGTTAAACAAACTGGAGAGATTATCTTCTTCGATTATCAAGTTTGCTCGACACCAAAAGACTGTGGGGGAACTCAAAGGTTAGATAATTAGCAGAAAATGCCAATAATTTTGGTCAATTTTAAAGGCATTTCATGGGTGGGGCAGTGAGTTGGAGGTGTGGAATGATTAATCAGATAAATGAAAACCAAAACCTGGAAAAGGCAAAAACAAGAGGCAGATGGAATACTTCTTTCCACACATTTCTGCTCATCTCTTCAAGTTGATGAGCAAGTGAAAGTCGTGCCGAAAGAGGAGTTGGTGAATGACTCAAGAGTGTTGTGTTGTGTTGTGTTGTGGATTCGTAGGTTGGGAGAATTTCCCAAAAGTGTTAACACTGCATTTGTTATTAACGTGGGCTTTCAATTAGGTTCTTTAAAGCATTTAGCTTCTTTCGTGAATTCTTCAAAATGCCCATTCCACTTCACTGACCTGTGACTATGAATCGTGAGACACAATTTTGGCAGGCATTATAGAACATGTCCAAATAAGTGTCAAATTTATATTTACCATTGTCTCGCTACACTCAATGAGTCCTTATTTTAACCTACTCACAATCTTAGCAAAATGCTCAGCATTATTGATGGAGCACATTGTGTCGGGGTTGACAGACTAGCATATGGCAACCTCGTTTTCTGATATTATTAAATTAGTAACCGTCAGCTTTACGCTTGACTTAATTAAGATCTTACGCAGTTCTATCTAAATAAATACATACTTAAATACATATGCAAACATCTATTTAACATAAGTCAGGATGAGGACGAATACTTGTAAAATTGCATAAAGTCTATGAGATGTACTAAAATGACCAAGATTGCCAAGATGCATAAGGATGGCATTTAGTGGAAGAAAGTGGCCAATTTTCAAATGCCTAGCTATCTTCTCTCAAATTGATCGCTCCAATTGATTGAATTATCTCTTCTACTCAAAGGCCACTTGGAACGCCCATTTCTACTTCAATATTGGTCCCTTCTCTCTGTATAGAAGTGGGTTTCACAGGCATTACAGTTTTGGACCACCCTATTCTACTTTGGCAAAACCGGGAGCCTCTATGAGGAAACAATGAAGCATTAATGCTCTTTAGTGAGAAATAAATTCAACATACCCTCTTCCATCGGAAATGATTTTTTGTACTTCAGGTCCCTGAGTTATTGCCGTAAGATTAGCCAAGGTGTGAATATTACAGGCTGGAAATAAACCAACCGAGTCCTCATTGCAACGGTTTGCCAGTGCTTGGAGAACGCCGTTTGGAGGGGCCTTAGTTATTAGATCAGTTTCTACACTTTTCACCATTGAATCCCAATGACCAGCAATAAAACCATTCAACACCCCGTCCGTTTTCTTCATTGTCTCATTGCCGGTCACATAGATGCATCCTTCACCTAATTACAAGCAATGAATTCATTACAATTAGATTCAAGTTCTCTTTATTAAAGTAATGTTTGCGTATTTAGAAAAGATCATTAGTTCGTCTCAATCGAGCTTCCAAAATTCATTCGTTTCTTATCGTTGGACAAACTAGAATCATTTTATAATAATTAAAAACTCCTTTTGAGAAACTGTTCATTCCAATTGTCTAAGCTAATCTTTACTTGAATGCATGAGACAACTCTTAATTAATCAGGATATATAGTATATCTTCTTTTCAAGGGTTTTATTTCGTTTGTTTTTCAAACTACCAAGACCCCACTGCATTTCATATTCGAATA